GTATGTATCTAACCTGTTGAAAAACTACTATACAACCTGTCCGCCATTGTTTGACGAGCTATGAGTACTCATCAATGATTGGCGTAATCTGCTTTTCCTCCCTATCAAGGAGTGTAGTGTTATAATGTTTTCTTGGTTCCTAATATTATCTAAATCCTAGAATGCCCTCTGAAGTACTCGCTTAGTTTTATTAGGCAATTTTGGACTATCACTAATACAAAACCTAGGAACAACCCTACGATAAAAACATAATTTCAAAAAACGAATATGTTTGACTTGCCGGGCCAGTGCTTTCTTGGTCTTAGTGTAAAGCAATGATTCTCGGAAACATTGGTATTCGTATTTACTACGTAGTTATGTATAAAAACTGGGTTTCCAATAGTCCCTTAATAGATTGATATTGGAGCACCTTTCGTTTCGTTTGAAGAGACGAGTTGAAAAGATTCGTAGGTTGGTCTCTCCGGAAGATGTAGGGGGATTGCCTTCGTACTGTAATTGGAGATTAGTGCGAATAGGTCCTCGGCACACCGCCCTGCGACCCCGATGAATCCTCGTTAAGATTTCTTCCGTCAAATGACGGACATTGTCAGAACAGGACATCCTGCTTTGACATAATTAAACAATAACAAAGACAAGGGGGCTGACTACAACCCTACCTACTTTTTCAGAAAACATTTAGGGCAAGCATAGAATATCCAACTAAAGAATCAGATGCCTCATCAAGTGGACCCAGTTGGACTATAAGGAGTAGATAGGTTTGAAGCTGGCTACCTTTTTTGCCTTTATGTTTTGGTGAATTATCGTTAAGCATGGTGTCCTGTTCTGATGATGTCAGTAACATGACAGATGAAAGCTCAGAAAGGATTCATCGGGGTCGCCAGTGGCTGCGCCGAGATCATATTCGCACAAATCTACAATCACAGCTCGAAAGCAATCTGCCTACAGCTTCATTTGAAAGTCCAACTCTTAAATCCCTTCCACACGCCTTTTTAAACGAAATGAAAGGTACACCAACATGAATTTATTAAGGGATTCTTCGAAACCCAGTTTTTCTACATACCGAAATTTAACATGTTTATCTTCACTGATTTATCTTTTTATCTCTACCTGTAGTGATCTCTGTATGTACAAATCATAAGATGGATTGATATTTTGACAGGAAAATGTTAAAGTCAATGGAATTATATGGTATAAGATTGATTTTATACTTAATATAGACTTAAGTCAAAACTACAAGTTTGGTTTACATTGCCACAATCTTCTTTATAAGGGGGGTATGCTGTCTCAGTTTAGATTTGATCCAAAATTCCTGTTTAGCATCAATTTAATCTTAATTCGGACATGCTTTTCATGAAAGAATATGCGAAGAAAATTTTGGTTTCGAGGACTCCCCTGTCGTCTTTAGATGGGATCGACCTTCCAATCTCTTTAGCAAACACTTTCACTCGAAAAGGAAATAAGCTCAACATTATTCATCAGTCTAATGTTCTAACTTCCTCTATTTTCTCACCATACAGTTCTTGGCCAATCTTCCCACATCATTTTCGAATATCTCATTGCATTACTCGTAATCTAGTTTGGGCTTTATCCTTACTCGTAAAAACAAGTTTTTTTTACTGGAGCGGAGATAAGATAATCCGCTCAATGTTGAGACTCTTAGTATGCTAACTGTTATGCAGTGTATTTTTCATTCTTAACCTCTTAATCCATAATTATTTACTTTTAAATAATCGAATGGCTGTCATCAAGATGAAAAGAAACCTCTAAATACCCTTTAAATAATTTATATTTTTTGTTTTTCAATTTGCTATAGATGTCATCGATTTTAAGCCCGGAAATTATATTTCCAATTATCCATGAATCACCAGATTGGTATATATATTCTGCTTTCTAAGCACTTTTAAATCTTGTATTCCTTTAAGGTCAATTATCCTATCGGTTCCGTTCGTGTCTATAAACTGACTGATCTCAGCGAAGCTCCACAATGCGAATGCCGTCCGCCTGGCCCTGGCAAGCCGCCAATTGGCTGGGATCCTTGTGGGCCCTTAAGTGGCTGCATTAATCGAGAGCTCCATTATGAATGCAACCCATTAGTTTGCCCAAATGGAGACAAATGCCGGAATCAGCGTTTTACAAAAAGACTATATCCACCACAGAAAATCTTCTGGACTGGCGAAGAAAGAGGCTGGGGCTTGAAGACTGTAAACCCTATTGCGAAGGTCAGTTTCATTAAATTACTTTCATTGTCTGAAAAATTTGAATGAGCCACCCTGATAGCTATTTAGTCTATCAAATAAGGATTTTAATTACCACTGATAGTGTAAACTATTATATCCGATTGTTCGCTTATGGCTGTGATAAAATAAATATTCTTGTACTCAATAATTCGCAAAGTATCATAAAATGCCAAATTCGCAAGGCTTAGCTTCGCCTTCAAGTTTTACTGTGTCTGGGATTTCAAAAGCACCTTATTATTTTAGTCTGCCTACAAGTTCAACTGTGTCTGGATCTCATCTTACTATATTGTGAAACGCAGGATGGCCGGTTCATAAAAATCCCCTTGTGGTCTTAAAGCACAGTCGGACCCTATATGATTTTAGACAAGAGAGATTTCTTTACACCTCTGGAAACAAGGGGATGATCTAAACTCTATTAAACTCGATAATACTGGTAACATGATGCTGAAAATTTTAGTGAATCGCAATTATACGTGGTTTTCCACATTCGTTACTTTAGTTAACAGATTCTTAGTAAAAGTAAATAGCAAAAAAAAACAGGTTTTCACTCGATATGTAGTGATGGTTTGCAGACATCTAATTCTATATAGTCATCTCATCGAATTATTTAGTAAATATTAGTTAATCTCTTTATAGGTTTGAGCTAAGAAGCCCCTAGCTTGCCTTGAAAGTCATATTTGCCTTATGGCAGTTTTACATCTTACTCCCAAGCTAAAAAGGCACGTTTGTTTAACTATGATCGCTATGGCAAATTGTTACAAATTTACCGATATCATTGAGTTCTATTCCACTCTTAGAACCATCCGTGAAATAATTTCTGGCCTATTATTCGCTATATGCAATGCTTGAGTGCAACCAATCCATGATTGGGGTCGGCTCCAATGTTAATGATAACAAGTCAGACTCAATATGTATTAAGGCACTTTGCATGTAGGGTTTGAATTAGCCTATCACTGAATGAGAATGATCTGCAAAATATTTGTTTTTTATACTACACTTATCTTCATTTTCCTTGTAAAGGGTGATTTTGTGAACGAATATATTGGGGATCTTATAGACGAGGACGAAGCAAATCGTCGCTTGCGTTTTGCTCATGAAAACAATATTAACAACTATTACATGATGCTTCTTGATGCAAACAGGATCATTGATGCTGGGCCGAAAGGAAACCTGTCTCGATTTATGAACCACTCGTGCGATCCCAACCTGAACACCGAAAAGTGGACTGTTAACGGAGACCAACGAGTTGGCCTCTTTGCTATTCGGTGAGCCTTAACTTCTTTTTTAACTTAATATTCTCTTAGAAGTTGTTTGACCTTGTTTTCGCAACTTGGCCAGATTGGTAGGAAGATTTAGAGGAGCTCACTTATTCTATAGTCGTGGACGTGGCACCTTCCCAGACGTTTCGCCGACATCATAGTCGGTATCGTCAAAGAGACAAATCCGTGGGAATGTACCATGTCCTTGGTCAGATTCTGGAAATTATCATACATACTATGGACTCCGGACTAGGTGCGTTCCTCTAAGTCTTCCTATCAATATGACCAAGTTGCGAAAACAAGGTCAAACAACTTTTATACAACAAAAGGAGACGGCCACGCCGTCTTGGTCTTCATACCTTAAGATTTTCTTGATTATTATTAATGGGGTTGCTTTTCCTACCCCTTTGCCTTTAAATAAAGTTATTGTATCATCAGGGTTATAGACCAAATTCTCATATGAATTCAAAGCATTACACCTGTCGCTCTTATTTATTAAAACTATGTTAATTTGCAATAATACATGCATACATATTCTACCAATTTTCTCTCGAAGATTCCTCAACTTGGCCTCCTGTGGAAGCTTACGTTGTTATCGTATGATCATTTCCCAGAATCTGTTTCGATAAGTACTCATGGCCCTAACAGTATTGAATTTATCGCATTATTGCTGATAAAGCTTAATTTAGATTTATTTTGGCTATCGGAGTTTCAAATTTTACCACCATAAAAGTAAGTATGAGGTATAAAAAGACAAAATTACGGGATGATAGCCATAGGTTGGCTTGATTATCAGCTACACAATCTACAATGAACTTCGTTCTAATCTAGTTTAATTGAAAGTTTTGGATACTCCTTATAGTAACAACTCCTAAGGCTTTTACTTAAAATGTGGGAAATTTCAGCTTTATACTAGATGCTAACGTGTGTAAGTCATATACTCTATCTCTAAGTTGCTAGTAGGAAATTTAATTTTCTCTGATCCAGAAAATTTAAATTGAGTTTGTCTCTGAATAAAACTGCGTTGGACCTCATTAGGCCTGGCTTCTGACACGAGTTTTAGGACCAATAAAGCCCTACTTTCCTTCAACAGGCCCGCAACATGGAGGGGAATGAGGCACCCATTACTTATGTAGGTGGGCGACGAAATTACAATCTAATAAAGGGATTTTTGGCGTTAAAATATATTTTTTGTTTCTATTGTATGTCATAAATACGGGGTCACTCACCTCAGGTGGGATATTATTGAAAGGTGACTTGCTGGGTATTGCGAGACAGAAAAAGTGTTTTAATATGTTGGATTGGCTTCTTTTTCACAATTTAATCCGAGTAATAGAGAAACCTTGTAGAACATACCCGATACTGCTTCCTCTGCCATAATATTCATGATAATTTCCAGCATCTGACCATTGACTTGCTATATTCTCAGACGTTTCACTGGCATCGTCAGTTAGAGGCAACATCCTTAGAACAGTTATAATTTATCAAAGTGATGAGTAAAGACCATCTGTTTGAACAATTTTATTTTGAACAGTTTTGGCATCAACTCCTCCGTCTCATCCTATCTTAGCTTCTTGCGCTGCATCCCTGTCCCTTGAAGAGTGGCCACAACGATTGAACAAATTATGTTGGGATGCTATTACCATTGAAATTCCCCTAACTATTACTCATATTATTGACACTTCTCGGCAAGCAATAGGGAAATGCGTGATTGGTAACATCGGATGACCTGATGAAGCTGAGAGTCAGAGTCTAAGCACGGCTTTCTATGTGAACAATACATGGCCTGAGGAAAGGGCCAGACAGGAAGCCAGGAGTTGAGAGCAAAGCTATCTAACCTAAGACAATAACAACACTATGCCGAAAACATTTAAGATTTCACTAA